GTTTATTTATAGTAATCAAACCACAGCTAGGACTAATTATCCAGAAAAATGTTGTCCTGAAGTAAAATGTCATGATTTTATCAGGATGTCTGGTCACCCTTGGGGGGTGGGCTGGTAAGAAAACACCTCGCAACCACTCAAAACACCAGATCACACAGAAAAAAAAGTGTTTAGAACACATTAGCAACACACTGGCAACCAGACACAATATGGCACGGCCAATCACAACTCTCTTTTTTCCACAAAATGTAAAAATCGAGCTTACTGATATTTTGGATAACCAAACAATTAAACACAAGGAGCTGTTCACCAGTAAACAGTAAACCAGTGTATTTCCTCCCCCCAAAAAATCCTGCTTCTCATATGGAAACTGTTACCGATGAAATATTAAGATGATGAACTGACGTACGACCAATCGCAACTCGTTTAGCGCAGTCCAGACCTTTTCACGCACAGTTTGCCCAGAGCTCACACACACTCATGCAGTCTTTGCTAGGGGGACGGTAGTTCAGAGGAGTGAGAGATGGTTATTAGACTCCCGTGTCGTGACCCGCTGCTGACTCACATGTTAACGGGGGGTTTTGGTTCTTTCCCATAATGTTGAGAGTGCCTGCGGTGCCAATGTGTCACAAGCAGCTGTTTTCTGCTTTATTAACATATACGCATTTATTCATGCAGTCTGTCATGCTTCTATTTATCTACTTCCTTATCCATTCATGCGTCCTACTTGCTCTGGATGTGACACTGAGCACTGGAACTGGGAGAAGAGGACCAAACAGACACGCACATAGATTGGAGTTTTATGAGCTGGGTGGAGTGTACACACATCAAACATGCAGAATGTGTGTTTGCATAAATGTGTGTGTGTAAATACAGGAGTAGGGAGGGATGCAAAAAAAAAAAAACCTTAACCGTAAGTAATGAACTTCGCTATGAAACTTTTCCCGCACAAAAACATTGTAACTCAAATCATTATAACGCAAAGAATGCAGCTTGTTTAGGAAGAGTGCTGTTATTATTTTTTAACCATTCAGATTTATGGTTTTCACTTGACAGGCAAAAAAAAAATGCATAGATTCACATTGAAGGAGAGAGCTAAACCACCCATTGGGGTCAGTAAGAATTTTTTTAAAGAAATTTCTTATGCTTACCAAGGCTGCATTTATTTGATACAACCATTTATCATGTATCTGTAAAAACAGTAATATTGTAATATATATTTACATTTTCAAATAACTGTTTTATACTTATAATAAAGACATGATATAATTATAATTTATCAAATATTTATTAAATGTAATTTATTCCTGTGATGGCAAAGCTAAATTTTCAGCAGTCATTCCTCCCGTCTTCAGTGTCACGTGATCCTTCAGAAATCATTCTAATACGCTGATTTGGTGCTCATAAAAGATTTCCTAATACAGGTGCATCTCAATGAATTAGAATGTAGTGACCAGCACCAACTGCTCTGCAGATTGAGAAGTCTCACAGGCAACACGACTGAATTAATTGGCCGTCCTAAGACATATTTCTCAAATTAAGTTTCGGAAATGAACGAGTGAATTAGTATAAGTGAATGAGAAGTGGCTAAGTTGATATATCTAGTGAACAAGAACCAAAATCAACTGGATCTGTGACGATCCACATCTTTGTCCTTATGTTTCAGGATCCATAGAGTCATATGAGGAAAGCAAGAAACTGGAGACAATCTCTGTGTGACGGCAGATACTCTAAGCCAAAGCCTCGGCAATAAACAAGCTGACAACTTTCCCGACTTCACCGTGCTAGTGAAGAATTTATGTCGATGCAAGTTTGGCAGTCTTAAATATTCATTAAGTAAACAAACGACTCTTTGAACGAACAACATTAGCAAATGGATTCCAGGAAACTTAACAACCTGGGTACACTTGCATAGGATTTTGGTGACCTGCATGTGCTCGACAGTGACAGAAGCAAGAAACACACTGCTCCGAGGAAGACGGAAAAGTCCAAAACATAGCGCCTGTCAGACAGAAAGTCATTCGAGATGGCATCCTGGAGGCTTGTCAGACATTTTGAGATCTATCATAAACATATTAACAAGAACCAAAATCAACTGGATCTGTGACGATCCACATCTTTGTCCTTATGTTTCAGGATCCATAGAGTCATATGAGGAAAGCAAGAAACTGGAGACTATCTCTGTGTGACGGCAGATACTCTAAGCCAAAGTCTCGGCAATAAACAAGCTGACAACTTTCCCGACTTCACCGTGCTAGTGAAGAATTTATGTCGATGCAAGTTTGGCAGTCTTAAATATTCATTAAGTAAACATTAAACGACTCTTTGAACGAACAACATTAGCAAATGGATTCCAGGAAACTTAACAACCTGGGTACACTTGCATAGGATTTTGGTGACCTGCATGTGTTCGACAGTGACAGAAGCAAGAAACACACTGCTCCGAGGAAGACGGAAAAGTCCAAAACATAGCGCCTGTCAGACAGAAAGTCATTCGAGATGGCATCCTGGAGGCTTGTCAGACATTTTGAGATCTATCATAAACATATTCATTTAGCGAATGATCTGAATTACCTGTCATATGAACCTGGCACAAAGCCGGAGAAGGAAAGAAGCCAGATAATGCCACCCTCATTACCAATGAGCATCTTAATCAATGAGTATCAAGGGAACCAACAACCTTCAAGAGAGAAAAAGAGCGAAAAGGAGAGAGGAATGCACAAACTAAAACCTTTCGAGCCATTTCAGACATATGTCTCCTCCGGCTACACTGTAACATTTGTCTATGAAAAGCCTTATAAATGACTGGAGTGACATCATATTGACAACTCAGTGACATCATTACGTCACAGCATACAGCGGACATGACATAAATACAGTGACTGCATTAATTTAGCATTTTTGCCCTGGTTAATAGGTGTCTTCTGCAGAACATAAATCATACAGAACGTGTATATTTGTAAAAGTCGCAGTAACTGCTTGTTCTGACACAAACATTCAAGCACTTCATGAGTCATATTTAACATTCCAGAAAGTGACGGTGTATCATAGTGCACAAAACGTGCTTTCCATCTCCTTGCTGTTTGAGTGTTTGTGCAGCAGAAGAGGTTCATGTTTGGCTTTGATACGTCGCTGTGCTCTGGACCTGTGATTGACTGAGGCTGTGTTTACCTGAAAGCCTGCCCTCGTCAGCAGCGCTAGACGACAACACAACACAAACATGAACATCTGCTGGGCTACAGGCCACCTCGGAGATCCTGCTCTGTTATGACACAAATATGCAGTCTACTAACGGTTGGCTAGGTAAATCATTTAGTTGGGTAATGTTAAAAGTTTTTGTTCATGTTTAACTGGCTTTTATTTGTCTGAATAATGCCAGTGGATTTCCACTTTATACTGACACTTGTCGGCCTGGATGCATGAAGTTCCTTAACTTCACAACAGTTTTGTTCTTTTTTTTGTTATCTCACACTAAACAAATATAACCTTCTTCGATTCAATCAGAATAATTTTTTGTGCATTGTTGGTGGTTACACTTTTTTCTCTACAGTGGCTGTGTGTTGCACACTTTATGCTTTGTATAGCATCTGAAAGCTACATAACATATTATTCCACTAAATATTAGTAGTAACACAGCCAATTGTACGGCACAGGGGGTCATATGATCGCAACATAGTTGTGCCTTGACCGGCTACATGCTGAATAAAACAGTTTAGTCTACATAACTAATATGACTGGAGTATTCATCTCATGCAAGTATCATATACATGATTTTAACATTTCTTAAAGGTGCTGTTTATGTCATTGGAAGCAAAACTTTTCTCCAATTAGCAAACAATTACTAAGCGCACATTTAAGAAACAGGGAAGTTATTATAAGAAACTGTTGTGATGTTTCAGCATCAAGAGGAAAGTTGGAAGATGTAAATCTGAATATAACAAAAAAGGCAGGCTGATCAAAGCTGCCAAAACAAAGCATCTAAAATTAGATTTGGGATCCTTTTCCCATCACTGTCGTCCTGCTTCTATTTTAATACCAAACAAAGAGTTGATCACAGTTTATTCACTCAATAAAACGGGTTATGGAAACGCGCCACTGTCCCTCACAGACAGCGCTGAAGAAACATCATTATTCCAGTTGTCATAATCAACTAGCTTTTTTCGCATGACAGATGTGCAGTAGGCAGAGGGGGTGGGGCTACATTATTGACAGTAATTTACAGGCTTTGCTCGGATGCGTTTGTTCACTCAGGTGCGGCAGGTGCGCGCGCGGGGAGCAGGCTTATCGCGAGCCGCGCTGTTGCTATGGGTCGGCAGCTCCGTTGCCACGGCGCCAACAGGTGACGGCTGGAGGCCCTGGATGGAGAGGGATCTTGTGAAGGGAAGAGAGTGCGGCTCCGCGCTTTTCGCAAGCGTTAAAACCGCGCAACCTGTGGGGACTGCTGCGCAACACCAGCTGTCTGATAAGAAGGGAAATTCAACAGATGCACGCTCGAATGAGGGGGCATGACTGACGGTGCTTCATTTCACCATTTGAGATGCTCTAATCACTGTGAACTGATGCGCCGATGACACCACCCCGAGCTCATTCCGCACAAAATGGTTAAAAGCCCATTTTAAGTCTGAAGCGGCTGACAGGATAATCGATTGGCATCTGTGTGCGCGTCTGTCTCTGACCACATGATCTATATACATGATCAAGCCGTGGCGAGCCATCCAACAAGTTCATGAACTACATAAACGCATTTCCTTCCAAAATAATAATAAAATAGCTGTTGGGCATAAGTGGTTATATTTCATGACATTTGTTGATCGTCCGCTCAAAGGCGATATGAGTGCGCATATAGTGTGTTTGAAAATGGAAGGGTTCGGGTAGCCTACACCCCCGCGTCATGCCCATGATAATGCCAACACACTCATCATACCCCCCCCCCCCAACACATCCATATGGCACACACACACATAGTTTCCAAACAGAGGGAGGACAAATAGAGAAATTACCTTGATGGTTTTCAAGGGTGTCCTCCGGTATGTACATGTTTTTGCTTTCATTTACCATATATGTGGTCCAGCTTTATCCGAAGGTGAATGAAGAAAATGTTGTAAAAAAAAAGGAGGGGGTAGGAAAAAACAACCCAAGGGAAAGAAATGAAAGAAAAAAGGGGGAAGAAAAACTAAAAAACGCAAAGCGTAAGATATTCCTTCTCTTGCGGCTTAGTTAATATTACCTGATCCCCATTATGGAGCTAAAGATCAGGAAAGGATAATCGCAGGAACCACCTAAGAAAACGAACCAGTGCATCTTTGGAACATCCGGGCCCTACCTAAGAAACATGATACCTGCGCCGCTTGCTGATAATCGATAATCAAATCGGCGCGATTCGCTCGGAAACGGTTCGAAAAGGATGCTGCAAGAGCCAGAAGAAGCGCATGAGAAGCGGGCGTAGGTTTCGGAGGCCGTTTCAGAAAGCGCAGCAAAAGGTAAAAAGGTGTGTATATTCCAGATCTCACGGGCTTCAATCTTCACATATGATCGATTCCATCTGAGATGTTCCACAGCAGGCGTAGTTTGCGTCGCGCCTCGTTAGGAAACAGAGTGCATAATCGGCCGCGTCCTGTCCATATTGGAGAGAAAGGGGAGTAGTCAGTCTGTGGCCCTGCGGAGAGAGAGCGCACACCACCAGCCTCTCTGCAATGATCTGACGACCAATCCCCCTCCCCTGTAGACTCCCTGACTGCTTCCAGATGTGACTGCGCTAGAAAGGAGTATAAATCCTCCACGCTTTTCCACACGGGCTGGATCTCTTGAGGGAGAGAGCAAACTTGGGAAGACCGAGTCGAATCAGCTCCAATAAGCGTAGCCAGACTATGAACCGATTCGAGTTCTTTTACAGTCCGGAATCATGTCAGAAGATGATCTGTACCATAACGAATCTTGCGTGAATACCCTCACAGTCACGGCTCCATGCACCATGTTTAGACATTATCCACTTCCTGCTGCCTGCCGGGATGCCACTTTTGGGGAGAATGTTGGGTTCCCCAGCAGCAGGTGTCGGGCCTGATTTTTCCCTGCAGCTGAGGTTTAACTGGCCTGATCTTCCCATGGCAGGACAGGCCGTTTCCTGAGGACTGGTGGGCTCTGATAAAGGGGACGATGGGGCCTGGGAATTTCTGTAAGAATCTTTCATCAGCAAATGGCCTAGTACGAATTTAGCAGGCCCTTCACTGGTCCCTCCCTCCAGCCATGAGAAAACTTCACATGTCCCAAGAGACATCCCCTGCCCCCAGACTATCATTTCTTGCTCGCGCTCTTGCTCTCTGCGCATCAGAAGTGCAGATTTTGAATTTTCAATCAGTCAGAAGAACCACGAAGCATGTAGCGGGGAAAGAGAGGCCCTCAAAACTGCAGGTTTTCAGATGTCCCTCTGGATGAATGAAAAACAAGCTCTCCCAGTTCATGGACATTCAATCTACGGCCAAGTTCTTTGATTGAATTTGGCTTTGAACAAAAGTTCATGACAGAGGTCAGCAATTTCCCTTCAGCATCCTCAAATAATTGATTAACTTTGGTATGTTTATTCAAAGCACAGACGAAATGTTCACAAAGTGGTTTTCAGTGCCACCCTGTAAGCAGGAACATCTGGGAATCCAGGGATCGGGGGGGAAAAACCAGGGGCATCGGTACAGAAGGAAAACTGGTTAATGTGTCGCTTCAAAGATTACAAAATTCCTCCCAGCTTCCAGACCCACATTTCAAATGTCATGTCTCTGTCTGCACACTTAATGTGATACAGCAGTGGCTGTGCTCTACAGCCAAAGGCTACACCATTTTTTTTAAATAGCACTATAATTAACCAATTACCTAAACATAACTGAGGCGACATATATCCCTTTTGTACTGACTCTTACCCCACCACGTAATGAGAATTAAATATACAGAACATAAAGGTTTTATTTCTAAAATATATGTTAGTTGATTAAGTCTACTGTTTTGGCAAGTTTTGTCAGCCCAGCTGAGATATCATAGAGAAAACTGCTTGGGCTGCTGTGCTCTCTGGAACAGGTCTGAAATCCTGCCGAGAACGAGGATAAATCACGAGTAGTTGTACAGCGATGCCCTCTAGTGGCAAATGAGTGAAGTGTCGTTGAGTAAATTGTTCTTTACAAGGTGCACTTGGAAAAGACTAGTTATAATACGCCTGTCACCCTGAAGCAACCCTTGTGTCTTGCTCAAGGGGCACAATAGCATTCCGTTTCTAGGTTTTTCCTGTTGCAACCTTCATGTAGACTCCCTAGTTGAAACTTCTTTTAAGGGTGCACACCAATTAACTAAACATTGTTAATTGGTGGCTGGCATTTTCACTAAACATGGTGAAAATGCCAGTCAATACAACATAAACATAACATATGAATAATATGTTATGTTTATGTTGCACTGGCTGGCATGACAGTTGTCATGGATGATGCAAAAGCATGTACTCGGCTACTAGTACAATTTTAAAGTACATTATTTACAGTGAGATATGATCATTTTAATAAGTCAAAAGCGTTAGATAATACTGGGGGATATATTGAGATCAAATAAATATTTGATCGTGTGATTTTACCATTCATTTCTATTGGAGTAAAACAGGAGGGGGGAAATTCCTAAGTGCGCCTTTAAATTACAGTAACCTAGGGACGTTTGACTATTAAAATTGCAACAGGACAGTAAGTCCTCTGGACTGCGAAATCTGTTTTAGAAAGAAAATGCAAACAAACCAACATTTACAAAAACTTCAAACTTCAAATCATGCCTACCAGAGGATGAATCGTGCAGGAATGCCAGGATGTCACATCCTCAAGGGCTCCCCTGGACGCACAAACTCTGCAGCGTTATTAGTACCATGACCATGATGGAAATAAAGGTCTGGCGGGTCTCAGGTGAGCTCAGGCCAGCTGCAGGGGGCGGGGCTTCAGGCTCATCGCTTATGCTGGCTCATCGATTACTTTTCCTGTGCGCGAGAGCGCTCAGCGATCAGCTCGTTCTGTCTTGTTGTCAACGCAAACATGGCGCGAGCTGGAGCTTTCGGGAGTTAGAGAAGTGAAATAAAGCGATATATTCATGTTTTACTAATTTGCACAACATCGAAAACGTACACCAGGAGACCGGAACGTGAAATAAAGTGTTCCAGTCCTGTTTTACAGAGGTGAACTTCGTTTTAAAGGAATTTTAGGAGTTGTGCGGTATTTTAAGCTCAGGTAAGTTTCACTCCAGCCCGAGCTATAACAGGGCAGCAGTATCTAACCAAGGCCTCAGTTATTTCATTTGTAGACTTATGTAGGCATGGGTTATTTCATTATTAGTGGCAAGCATCAGTTACTATTGTTCATACACGGTTGGGGACTTGAACAAACCGCTGACCCGCAGTACCAAACTTCTGTTTGTAAAACGGCCCGCAGAGTTTGTGCTGCGGACATGAAGTTACTAGCGATCGGGTTTACGACTTGCAACGAACGAGGGACCCGAACCAAATCTAGGGCCCATAATATAATGCAGACTTGAAGGTGGGCTCTTTTAGCTTGGGCCAAACTTAGCAACTGCATAGGAAGACTTTGTCAACCACACAGCATCGTTGCTTTAGAATATAAAGGTTATTTTATAGCCTTATTTGTTGTATTAATTCATAATACACTTTCATGTTACACAAGTCTGATATATTTATTTTATTTAACTGTATCAGCATAAATTCCTGATTTATTTATATTTCAATTAAATGACTTTCACAGCTCTGATTTATTTAGTCAACTTAAACGGGCTTACGTTTATAAAACGTTTAAATGTGTGCATGCCTAATTGTTTTTAAGCTTTGTTTTACTTTTGTGTCTACATTTATAACCAGGCCAGTGGAGATCGTTGTAGGTACAGCTTTTGATCATAATTGGGACATACAAGACTGTGTATAGATGTAGAAGCAACATTTTACAAAACATTAAACCGTGCTGTATAAAGTTCAGTTCGTACTCTGAAATATATTTCAGATAAAGGATTTATGTGGAGTAGTTAAAATATTCCTAATAGGCGATGATGATACTGATGCATGTAAACGATTGCTGAGCAGCCTTACAATTGTTGGAATTAAACACTTCGATCTGAATGCTTTAGTGAACAGTAATCTCGGGCATCTGCATGCTATTATTCAAACATCATATACTTTATTTACAGAACAGGACTGGAGCCATGACTGCAAGCACAGGTGGCGGCGGGAGCTGTTTATCCATGAGTCTGTCTGCCCTAAAGAGACTCGACCCCTATATTAGCAGCATCACAGACCTGGCCAGTCAAGTAGCACTTTACACCTTCAACAACACCACTAATGAATGGGTAAATGATTATATCAACACAATCAATGACAGTTAATGGATATATAGATTAATGACTACTGTAAAAAAATAATATATTTGTACATACATTTTTTTAAATGTTAGTTTATTTTTATTTTAAGTTAAATATAAATATATATATATAATTTTTTTTCCCTACAGGAAAAGACAGATGTAGAGGGAGCTCTGTTTGTCTATAACAGGTTTGTATGTTTTCTGGTGTTTTCAGCAGTGAAGCAGCGCACACACACCGTGTAGTCCTGAATCAGAGCCCTAGAGCTCTAAAGCGGTTTTAAGGGTCACAGAAATAACCTGCATGATATTCCTCAGCACTTCTGATATAGCCTAACAATGTACACTCGATTGCACTAACACTGCAAAACACTCACTCACATTTGTTTAGGACCTTCAGATTCATAAGCTTTAGTTTCCCACTTATGTTGTGAATTTTAATGTCATTTTTCTGTGCATCAGGCTTGCCTCCCCCAGGCACGGCTTCACCATCCTGAATCGGTTGAGCATGGACAACCTAACCGAACCCATCACTAAAGACTTAGATTTCCAGCTGCAGCATCCATTTCTCCTGTACAGGAACGCTCGCTGTAAGTCTCTCTATTTGTGAAAGAGCTCAAATGCATCCCAGTAAAGCTAAAAGAGTAATATCGTATAATATTGCACATAGCCAAAAGTATGCAGATTTGGTTGATTTTTCATAAATGGAAAAAAAGTGGTCCTTCATTGCGTTTAAGGCCCAGGTGTATTTCACTTTCTGAGTTTACCTCCGTCTCATCTTAGTTGAGCAAGCAAGCAAGTAAACTTCACTGACCATGAGTGCAGATAGATGCAAATGGATCTTTCTTTCGAAGGGCTCAAATCACTCGGCTGCACTCACAACAGCCGTAAAAGTGTGTCTGAATCGAGAGAGCTGTCAGACTGGCGTCTGTGTGTGTGAGATCAGAGATCCCTAGCAGGCGTGCCTGCATGAGAGGCCCCGGAGCCACAGTGCCTTATATGGTGCAGAAAAGTGTGTGTGTGTGTGTGTGTTTCTCTTCCAGTTTCCTGCCAGCATCATAGACCCAAGCAGCCAATCCTGATTAGATAACAAGCCTCTCTCACACGC